ATGTAGAGTTACTTAAGAAATGCCTCAGGTTAGCTGGGCGGTGTGGCAGGCACCTGTAGTCTCAGCTACTTGGGAGACAGGCAAGAGAATCCCCTAAGCCCAGGAGTTGGAGGTTGCTGTGAGCTGTGACACCACGGCTCTCTACCAAGGGTGATAAAGTGAGACTTGGTCTCTACAAAAAAAGAAAAAAAAAGAAAGAAAAGAAAAGAAATGCCTGAGGGGAAATAGGAGAATGGTGCCTGGTTTTCTAGCCCGTGCTGTTTTTGATCCTAATCAAGGAGCAGATAACGCTAGGGCACTAGGCTTTGCACTGTTTGGTTTCAGAGAACAAAGCAGTTACAATATAGGATCATAGGGTCCTAGTTTCTCAACTCAGCCACACTGACACTGCAGTTGCCTGGGCCTCCCCAAGACATTTTATCTGGTGCTATTGTTTATGTTATTATTATTTTTTGAGACAATGCTGCCCTCGGTAGAGTGCTGTAGCATCACAGCTCACAGCAACCTCAAACTCTTGGGCTTAAGCGATTCTCTTACCTCAGCCTCCCAAGTAGCTGGGACCACAGGTGCCCACCACAATGCCTGGCTATTTTTTTGTTGCTGTTGTCATTGTTGTTTAGCAGGTCTAGGCCAGGTTTGAACCCACCAGCCCCAGTGCATGGGGCTGACCCCTTAATCACAGAGCTATGGGCACTGAGCCCATGTTATTTTTTTAATTTATTTTCCTGGTATTTCAAAGAGTTATCAGGACAGTTATGAGACACTCTAATGTTTATATAACCCTCTCCTCATGGCTGACCTGGAATCCTAAACTCTACTGTTGGTATATAATAGTAACAACCTGTCATCAGAGCTTCCTTCCTCCAGTCTTTCTCTACTAACCCAAGATAATAGCAGATCATCTTAAATGCTATTTTCATGTTATAAAGGTGATCATGACCCTGCACTTATTAACAAAGTAATTTGAACCACTTCGTTTATTGCTCTTTCTTTCAAAGCTAAAGTCTTAAGCCCTCTAGCATCTGGAGCATCCTTATCACCTTCTATCATGAACCATCTTCTAGGCGAGGGGCCTGGTGACAGCCCCTTAGCCACTTCCCCCTCTTTCTGCCTTGATCCTTTGCTCCTGCTTGGTCCCTCTTCCAGGACAGTCTCAAGGCCCTTTTAAACTCCAGCCATCTTTCAATGCTCGCCTATCCCACATCCTCCATGTAGCAGTCTCTTAATTATTTCTGCATATTTCGGCTGTACCTGATATCAATTGAATCCATATGATTTTGCTACCTAAATGTTCCAAATTCTCTGTATGATATATAGCTAAGTCACAGATCACAGAGTTTAGGAATAGTTCTAAGTTTTTGTTGTTTCTTTTTTTTTCTGAGCAAAAGCAGAGAGGTTTATTGAAAGCCAAGTACATTACTACAGAAAAGGGAAGCATGGACTGATCCAGAAAGGAATATTTTCTAAATTGATTTTGATATTTCTTTGGTTGGGGTGTCAAGTAGGCATATTTGACTTAAGTTTAATAAGTCAGGAACCACATGCATTCATTTCCTGTGGGTTCTTTGGCTAAGTTGTACTATACTTTGCACATACCATGTATTGGAATATTGGTTTTGAATAAACATTGCTAATGGGCAGACAAATGAACAAGGAAGAAAGAATTATGACTTGTGACCAAAAAAAAGTGAAGAGGAGATAAGAGTGAAGAGAGAATTATATCTTTGCATGAATTTTTCTTTCTATTGAACTGACCAAAGTTTCTGAATTTATATATTCAACTGGTCATCAGATATTCATAAAACATCAAATATTACCATTGAAAATTGAAATTTAAAGACAATGCAGTTAAGAGCAAAGAAATACCAATACCTTCCTACTGTATGATGGGACACTACCTCACAAGATTCAGTAGCCAAGGACCTATCCAGAAACCAATGACTCTAGCAAATGTTACATCAAATTGTCCATAAAAATGAGAGAGACATCACAAAGAGAACAAAACTTCATGCATGGAGTTAAAACTGTATCAAACATGCTGTGGGGACACAGTAATTCCCTACCCAAAATATGAGGAACTCCTTTGAACAGCTGGTCTGTGACAAAACAGAATACCTCACACCAGTGAGAGGCTCTTAGTCCAGTTACCTGGTTAGCCACATGTTAACATTAAACAAGAGTCTCAGGTAATTTTTCAGTTTCTCTGCTGAGATTGTTCTAGGACATTTTTTCCATCATTTTTGATCTTAGCAGGATACCAGAGAACATGCAAATGGAAGGTTGCTCTTTGGGTTTGAGAAAACATATATATCAAATAACTGTTTTCTCAGAAAATCAGCCATTCTTATGTGTGAATAATTATAATGGCATTAATTTTAATAAGTCTTCACCTTAACAATACTTTCAACTTACAGTTGGTTTACCAGACACACCTCATCCTAAATTGAGGAGCATCCGCACTTACCTGCATGGCAATCCTCTTCAGTGAGGCATGTTTCTGGACCTCAGCAATGTCACCAACTGCCAGACCAATCTGAGATGGGGCACAAAATTAATCACTACAGTTTAATGACTCACCTAAAAATTCACTTAAGGTCTGTCTGAGTCCATCTAGATTGCTATAACAAAATGCCTTCCACTAGGTAATCTAGAAATAGCATAAATTTATTGCCCATGGTTCTAGAGGCTGGGAAGTCCAAAATCAAGGTGCCAACACATTTGGCATCTGATAAAGGCATTCATAGGTGGTGGCTTCTGTGTGTTTTCACATGGCAGAAAGTCAAAGAAGAGCTAAGAAATCCCTTAAACTTCTTTTATAAAGGTGTTAATTCCATTCACAAGGGCTGTGCCCTCAGGGCCTAATCACATTCCAAAGGCCCAACCTTCAAATGCCATCTCTTTCGAAATTAGGTTTCTATGTATACATTTTGGAAGTGATATAAATATTCAAGCCATAGCAAGGTCCCTCTGGCTACACTGGGAGAGTGGGCATGTGATCTACTAGTAGTGGCTGCACAGTGCTTTGCTAATGCACATTACAGAACACTGCATGCACAGCGGTACACCATTTCAACAGTGGTGGCCACTTTAGGGGGGGCCAATAATCTTAAATGTTATCATGAAAGCTTAAGACACACAAATTAATCTGAAATTCATTTTAATTTATGAATTAAATTGAGGACAGTAAGTGATCTGATGTCCAATGTCATTGGGTTTAGCCACACAACATAGCTGGGGAAAGTCCAAGAGTTTGGAAACTAAGGTAGACAAGGGTGATTTGACAACATGGAAAAGTTAAAACTTTAAACTGAGAAAAGGCTTTTATATCTTACATATATTCATCAAAAGAGGGTGTAGCTTTAGGGCAAGAGAAAGGCTTTGGTGAGAAACCCTTCCAGCAATCCATGGGTAGATAGAAGCAGGTAAGGGGAAGCTATTAGCTCAGTTCTACTCAATATAATGAACTTAGTTCATTTCACTCACCCTTTCATTTGTCTTTCATTTGTTTCTGAGGCACTTAGGCCCTGCCTATGCTGAGCCAGCATCCTACATGCTGTACCTAAGGAAAAGCCTGTGCAGTGGTGCAGTGTACCTAAGGCATGAAACTATAAGAATTCTAGAAGAACATGCTGAAAAAACTCCTGTAGACATTGGTCTAGGCAAAGAATTTCTGAGGCAATCAATTTCTGATTTGAAAGGCAATCACAGCAACAACAAAAATTAACAAATGGGACCTCATTAAAAACTTTCTGCATTTCTTTGGAAACAATCAATAGAGCAAATAGATAACTTACAAAATGGGAAAAGGTATTTGCTTGCTATATATCTGATAATGGGCCTATAACCAGAATCTATAAAGAACTCAAACAAATTAGCAAGAAAAAATTAAATCACTCTGTAAAAAAAGTGGGCAAAAGATATGAACAGAAGGTTTTCCCAAAAGGAGATAGACTAATGACCAAAAAGTATATGAAAAATGCTCAATGTCTCTAATCACCAGGGAAATGCAAATAAAAACCAAAATGAGGAATCACCTAACTCCAATGGGAATGGGGTTGATCAAAAAAATCTCCAAACAATAGATGCTGGTGTGGATGCAGACAGAAAGGAACACTTATACACCGTGGGTCGGACTGCAAAGTAGGACAACTTCTAGGGAAAGTAGTACAGAGATACCTCAGAGAACTAAAAATAGATCTTCTATTTGAGCTAACAATCCCACTACTGGGTATGTATCCAGAGAGAAAAGTCATTTTATCAAAAAGATATGTGTACTTGCATTTTATTGCAGCACAATTCACAATGGCAAAGATGTGGAGCAATACATCCATCTGCGCCCAGCAATACATCTGCCAATCAAGTAAATGTGGTATATGTACACCACAGAGCACTACTTAGCCATTAAAAAATGGCTACTTTTTGTAATGATCTAGATGAAAATGACCTAGTCTTCTAAGTGAAGTTTTGCAAAAATAGAAAAATAAACACCACATATACTCACAATTAAACTGGACCTAATCAACACTGCTGTGTAGTAAAACTCAACAGGAAGCAAGCAGGTGGGAGGGGGCCAGAGTGGAGGGGCGAGTTCACACCTAACCGGTACAATGCACTCTCTGGGTGAGGGGCAGACTTATAACCTTGACTCAAACTGTACAAAAGCAATTAATGTAACCAAAATATTTGTACCCCTACAATATTCTAAAATAAAAAATTAATTAATTTTTTTAAAATAAAGAGCCACTAATGGACCCAGTTTCTTATTATGAGAACATCAATGTGGGAACCATTTGTAGGGAGAATCACACAGTGAAGTGAGACAAGACAGAGATACTCTTCAGGCTACTGCAGCAATTTCGATGAGACGCCATGAAATGCAAGGCCACTGGAAGTAGATGTGGAGTTGAGAACATCTTTCTGATGTAAGGAGATGGCACTGAGAGGCAGTAGCAGATTTTGAAGGAAGGGTGCTATCAGTCTTGGCTCTACTGGGTTTGATTTTCCTCCAGGACAGGCAGGTAGAGAAGCTCAGTGGGCACTGGATATGTGGATCTTCAGTACAGTGCCAACCTATAGTACTACTAAGCCAACTTCTCTTTCTCGATAATAATCTTCCCCAACATCAGCAATTATAAGAGAAGAACATGGGCCTATATCCTTCCCTATATTCCAGGTGCCATCCTTTGTTTTTGCAGGACTAGATCACCAAAATAAAATTTGAGCTGTATCAGATAAATGGATAGAAACACGAAGGAGTCTGTATTATTCTTTTCTTTCCAGAAACACTACCTGCAGTGCAGGCTCTGGTACATAGTCAGACACAGAGAAAGTGTGTTAAATGCATGCATGTATAAGGGAAAACAGGCACTATAAAGTCGGTAAACATGCCCCATGGACCTGGAGCCAGATGGCACTTTGTCTGCATAAGCCTCATGGCTCAAGCAAACTCTCTAAGCTTTCTATGTGGAAGGCCTCTTTTGCCCAGGGTGTCTCGCCTTTGGGTTAGAGGTGGCATCTGAATGCCATGGATGCCCTCTCCAAGAGAGACTCTTCCCCACCTGGATCTCTGATCAACAAGTTTGCATGTAGAAACAATATATCCTCCATAAAGATCTCTGCCTAACCTCTGATCCCCTCCCTAATCCTACCTCTTCGTAGCATTTATACTGTGACCGAGTATTGGTCTGTCTATTCACCACTATTTCCCAGTACCTGCAACAGTGCCTGGCATTAATAGATACTAGGTAGGTATGTGCCAAGTGAATGCTCCTGAGCCTCTTGATATGCCTGGTATTCCCAAATGGCAAGCGAAGGTTGAATGAATGGATTTTGAAGTAGGCCCTCCCCCACCCCACAGTGGAGGGATGTTAGGCAGTTAAGAATAATTATTATCAAATGCGCCAGATGATCAACAAGCAGGAATGACAAAGAAAAATTACTTACAAGTAAATTCATGAGGACAACTGGGACAAATATTGTGAAGGCAATGAGTAGTGCAAAGGACACAAATGGATAAGCCAACTCATTTCTCAGAAACGGTTCTAGGAAGGCGTCTTGATAACTGACATCTCCCAGCATCATGCTGAAGGTCTGTATGATGGACAGCCACGGGGAGCTGAAGGCATCCTGAGAAGAGACAGTAATGGAAAGGTGAGATGCAAATTGTATCAAATGGAAACATGCTTCCTGCAGAGTAAAAGGATAAAACTGACATTAAGGATACTTTAAAAAGACATAGGCATGCAGCTATTGAAATGAAATGATAAGAAAAATTAATGAACTAGCAACATCACAAAAAGCTCCTTTCCACACAGATAACAAATCATTGTACATCAGACATAAGCATTTTTGGCAATGGAAAAGCTGATTTAGTAAGACTATAGTTTTTTTTTTTTTCTGCACTAAAAATCATTTGAAAGAAACACCAGATACTATGGTATTCAGGGTCAGAGCGGTGGTTCACACCTATAACTCTAGCACTCTGGGAGGCTGAGTCAGGAGCATCATTTGTGCTCAGGAGTTTGAGACAAGCCTAAGCAAGAGTGGGACTCCATCTCTACTCAAAATAGAAAAAAAATTAGGTGGGCATTGGGGGAGTCACCTGTAGTGCCATTTGAGAGGCTGAC